GGGGCAGGGGGGAGGGGACGAAGTCGCCCGCCGCCATTTTGCTTGTGGGCTGCCGCCCGCCGTTTCCATTCCGCCGAGGCGCAAAGACTAACAAACTGGAGACAGGGAGATGGACACGCTCCGTCTTTTTCACAGCAGGTGCACTGAACAATTCACCGAAGGTTTGGGGGGGTCGGCGCTTTTGGTTCTCCCCGAGTGGCCCTCAAGTCTGGATCGGTGAGCGTGGGCATGCTACGTCCCGGAGCAGAAGGGTGACAGTGGGGCCTGGGCGCGACCCCCGCCGTCCTCCCCAGAAAGCGGTGCACTTTCTCCCACCCCAAGACGACCTCCCCAGGGGTGCCCCCCGCCCCCACCGGGCCTCCAGCGCGGGGTGAACCCGGCCGGGCGTCACTCGACGCCCACTGGGGGCCGGGGCGGCTCCACTGCGCAGGCTCCAGGCCCCGGATAAAAGCGGAGCTAGCGAGCGCGGCGCCGTCTCATGGAGGAGCGAGAAACGGAAGAGGTCGGGGGGAGAAGCAGCTGGGGAAACACAGCCATCGTCCGTGCCGCCTCCCTGCCACCGTGTTTCGCGGTAAACGCTGCTGTTGCCGTCGGTGCAGCCGCTGTCGCTGCCTCCTATACTTGTCTTGGCCCCGGGGAAGGAGTTACCCTTCGCGGGACAGTGTGCGGGGCGGGGAGCGGGAATTCCTTTATGTGGCGGTGATTAAACGAGGGAGGGGCAGGGAGACGGTTATCTGAAAGAAAACTGGGGGGTAGGCCAAAGAATAAAACGAGGGTTTCCCCCACTAAAGTGACATGGCTATTCTGGCTCTTGTTTTCCGGGTCGCTCCCCGAAATGGCGGTTTCCGTCTTCTTGCCCCACAGCGACCCTGGGCGCTTGGTAAACTGAATGGGGAGAGGCAGAGGCAGTCGTGGCAGCGAATCGGCGCTTGAGGTAGTCTGTCGGGCGCGTCGTGATTGGCTAGCGATGACCTCATGCTGCAGCAGCGGGTGGGGCCAAAACCGTCGGGGGAGGCTGTTGCAAAGGCAGAGAGGGAGAAGTGACGATGGTGCTCGTTGCCGCCGCGGCCGGTATGGAACCCGAGCAGTGGCGATGGGAATCGCAAGGCTCTTCCCTCACCATTTCCTCCTGTCCCTGCGCGAGGTGAGGGCCCTGGCTCGGCCTCTGCAAGACTCTGGGGCGCTGGCGCGGACGAGGAGACACGATGGCTCCTGTGACTTTTGTAACTGCGTCAGGGCAAGATGGCGCTGGGTCTCCTTGGGGCGCGGGGGGAGCGGCACGTCCGCCGCCGCCGCAGCGCATGTGACCGGCTGCATTCCTGTGGGGTTTGGCTGCGGCCCAGGCCGGGGCGGGGGAGGGGAGGGCCGGGGCGGGGCGGTCGCGGCCCGAAGAGGAAGAGCCGACTGGCGAGCGCTCTGTCCCCGCGGGGAAGCCCCCCGGGACGCGCCCGTCAAGGGTGGCTACTGTGGGTGCAGGAGGAGGTTGGCGCTCCGTTTCCTGACGGCCTCCTTGCAAAGTGCGCTCACGTAAGGTGGCGGGGGACCCCCCAGTGTGTTCCCAGGCCACCCGACACCTGGCGAGAAGAGGCTGGCTCTGGGGCGCATTGTCCGGAGGCAGGACCGATTGTTTTCTGGGGAAGCCTGAACATTCTCAGGTCCGAATAGAAAAATACAGTATTCCCAAAGTTTGGAGGCAAGTGTAAAGGTATAAATAACACCCAGGAACATTTTTAAAATTTTTTTTCTAAAAAGATCCAAGCCGTCGAAGACAGTGCCCATCTGAATATAGGACCCTTTTCAAATTTCCTGTACCTTCCTTTAAAAGTCCCATTTTCAGTACCCTCGTCTGTATTTCCTTCCTCAATGCGAAATCTTACCGGTGGGATTTGCTTTTTTTTTTTTTTTTTTTAAATACAGCCATCAGTAATTCAGAATAAAAGCTGCTAGTGTTTTCGTCTACATGAAATTGTAAGGGCGTTTTCAATACTTTCTGTTGGCTTTCTGTCGCTCTTATTACGGTTTTCTATAATAAAACATGAAACTATAATAACTTTTGGTAAATATTATTCAGTAAGGTTCCTGAGCCATTATAAAGTATATATGAAGTTTTTGAAACTTTGCATTGTTGAAGATGTTTTGTATTTCGTGATTTCCACTTGGCCATATGATTAGTGAATAATAGACAAAAATCAGAGGAGATTTAAAGACCTTACCTTGAAAGGCATTGAAAATGAGTTATTCATACATTTTCAGCTAAAATCTGTCTTGTTTCTTGACAAAATGTTCTTTGTGTGTTCGTTTCTTTGTTTTTTGGCTTTTTGAGACAGAATCTTGCTCTGTAGTTCAGGCTGGCCTTGAACTCACTGTGTGCACCAGGCTGGCCTCGGACTTGAATCTTCCTGTCTCAGCCTCCCCAGTGCTGAGATTGCAGGCCTGTACCACCACACCCTGCTTGACTAAGTACTGTTTGATGCTAGGAAGAAATACCTATTGTACCTACAAATGAGTTTAACCTGGATCCAAGACTGATGTTTCCTTTAGTTTTAGGGCAGTTAGTTTTAGTTTTAGGGCTGTTTAGTTTAGGTTGTTTCCTTTAGTTGCAGGGCTCTGGTAGTTTGACAAGATTGCATTTTTAATTCATTTGTATATCTTTAAATTTTTATTAGTTTTTGTGGATTCTTTTCAGTCACTAACTGAACATGGCTGAGTTGGAAAGCCCCTAACTGACTTGTAAATAGTTACTTAGTACAAAGAATTTAACATTCAAAGATTTTTTTTCTTCTTTGCTCACGCTGCAAAAATGGACACATTGTACAAGAACTTTGGAGTGATTTTAAGGGTTACTTTGTTACGTGTGTGTTCCTACTCCCTTTCTTTGCTCAGAGCAACTTCTCTTGCAAGGAGAGGGATCTAAATACAAAACCGGGAGATTATGAAGCAATTTTCGGAATGTTCGTAACCTCCCTCTGCCTTACAGGGAAGAGGCCATTTTCTAGACTAATGAAAAATAAATCTTTTATGTTTTTAATCAGCATGTATCCTCATTGTACCTAATTGCCAGATCCATGAGCTTCATAAACTCTTAGCTTTTCTATGATATTTATTTGTTTGTTTGTTTGTTTGTTTATTTATTTATTTATTTTGGGGTGCCTGGGATCCAGGCAGGCAGCAGAACCACTGAGCTAAATCCCTGCCCCCTATGATATTTTAAATACTACTTGAGATTACCTTTCTTTGCCTTTTTGCATTGTATGTTCTCCCTGGGCAGTCTCATTTGTGCCTATTCCATTATCCCTCCATTTTTCACCTTCATCTTAGCAGTACTAGCTTCAGAGCTGCAAATGCAATGTTAAGGTTTACAAGGGACATGGGCTTCCTGATTTCTGATTCCTGAGCTCATAAAAAATACTAAACTTGGTATTGATTCCTAAGAACTGTCTTCACTCATTTCCTCAAAAGATTATTTGAGTAAATTGTACCATAGCCTTCCTTATTCCTGTTCAAGTCATCGCCTTGTAGAATGCAGGAATCTTACGGAGTCCATGTATCATGCATATACCATCTGAAGGGTACCGTACTATTTCATCACCTTTGTGCCTTTGCCCCACTGTCTAGAGTGTCCCTTCCCCCTTCTGGATAGCACAGCTTTAGTCTTTTCCCTGCCTCCTAAAGCTTTTCTTAAATAAATCCCTACACTCAAAATACTTTGAGCCACTCGTTACATTGACAACCCAGTCATTAGTGACTGTCTATAGGCATTGGAGTGGACCTTTCTTGATAAGATCACTTTCAAAAGAGCTCTTTTAGCCAGGTGCAATTCATGCCTATAATCCCAGGAGGCTGAGGCAGAAGGATTGCAAATTCCAGCCCAGCCTGAGTAATTTAGACCCTATCTAAAATAAAAATGGGTAGTGATGTAGTTCAGTGAGAAGACCCTGGCTGGGTTTGATCCCTGGTGCTGCAAACATGCTCTCCTGACCACCAGAGTTTGAATAAGAGGAAAAGATAATTCAGGGGGAAGTTAGGTAGGGAACCCCTAATGGGCCAGAGAATTCTGCAAAAAGACAAAAAGGAAAAAAAACCCCAAACTGGACTATTTGGAGGTATCCATCAATATTTCTTAGATCTAGAGGATGGCTTCATGCATACGCTTCAACAGTATATAAAAACTAATGATTAAATGGCTCCTTAATGTGTCTTAAGATTCATCAAGGTATATAGCATTACTTGCTTTTATATTAGAGGGCACAACTTCTGTGACCTCAAGTTTAGTTAGGTCAATTTAAGAATAAGACTGGGTCAACCTCTGGTACCTGTTTGTTTTATGTATAATGAAATAGGCATTCCAGTAATAAGTCTTATTAATGTATATAATACAAAACAAATAAAACACCTTATGAGTCAAGTTTAAACATTGATTACCCGTTGTCTGCTCTTAAAACTTAGTATATCTTAGGCTGGGGATTAGGTTCAGTGGTTCCACCGCCTGCCTCAAAAATGCAAGGTCCCTTGATCTCTGGTATCAAAACAAAACAAAACAAACTTAGTATATCTTTGAATAGTCATGTGTATTTGTCATTTGACGTATCTGCTGGAACTTGAGTTAGGAAAACATTCTGACTTGCTGTGTGACTCACTGAATTTAGTTTTTACATGAAAATTTTCTCTATCCCACCCATGACATTTAATGTCCTGTAAATTGAGAAGAATAAACTGATTCATACCTGAAAATGGTTTGAACTGAAATCAGTAAATTTTCATTAAAATGTTATGGTTGAACATAGATGGCCTGATTAGGTTAACTTTTCTTTTTTTTTTTTGCACCGGGGAATCAAATTCGGGACCTTGTGCTTGCGAGGCAGGTGCTGGAGCCACTGAGCTAAATCCCTGGTCCCTGATTAGGTTAACTTATAGAGAAATGTATTAAATGTTAACCAGCTTTTCCTGGGTATGATGTTAGGTAACACTAATCATGAAATACTCATTTGCAGATAGTGTTAAAGATACTAAATAATTCAAGCATTGTAGATACCTTAAATGAATTTGATTATTTCTCTTATGAAGATAATAAATTTATTTAATTCAAGTTTGGAACTCTTTCAGTATGGAATTTCATCTGGAAATGAGAGAAAATGAGTAACATACTGCTCCTACATACATGAAGCGAGTAGAAAGGCAGGAAAATCGTGAGAGACCTCACAGTTCTTGCCATTCTTACTTGAGACTTCAGTGTCTCTAAACAAAATGTATTATTAAGTTAACCACAGACATGGTAAAAGCACTCTTCAGTATCCTGCATAAATTTTGAATAGCCACTGTAAAAATGAAGCCAGAGAGGAAGGGTTGTAAGATGTCTTGGAGGTTCTTTATTTGCTTGGAGAGGTGAATGTAGCGCAAACAGAATTTCTAAATGTACCAAGTTCATCAACTGTCCTTATTTAGAGATTGTGGTTGTGTTCTTCTGTTGTTGTTTTGTTTTATAAGGAAGAGTATTTCAGTGGCATTTTTCCTTCTATGCTTATGTTTGTCATGAGCACTGAAGTATGCAGAGTTTATCGTTGCATTTGTATTTTGAGTTTGGGAGGCTTTTTGTTTTTGTTTTTCCTGTCCTTGGCATTGAACCCAGGGCATTTGCACTGAGCTATATCCCAGCATTCCCCCAGCCCCAAACCCAAACATCCTTTTTTGATTTTTGTTTTTATGGTTTTGGTACTGGGGATTGAACTCAGGTCCTGGAGCTTGTGCAGCAGGCGGTGAAACCACTGAACTAAATCCCCGGCCCCAAACACCCTTTTTTGAGACAGGATCTTGCTAAATCCTTAAATTGCCCACATTGGGCTCAAACTTGCAACGTCCCTGACTCAAATTCTCAACAGTGCTGGGGTTACAGGTGTGTGCCACCACACCCAGCTGAGTTTTGGAGTTTGTATTTGCTCCGCTAGTGTAAGTACATTAGAAAACAGCATTGTCTTTTTGAAATACAGAATGTACCTTCAATCAACAACTTTTACACAAACCAGTTTTTGTATCATTTAAATTGGTTATTAACCTGTGATAAATGATATTTCATACATCTTGAACCCAAATTGCTGAATAATATAGGAATTTATTTCTTGAGATTATCACTTTAATATTCTTTGTCCTCAAGAGATTGTTTTTTGATAACTTTTTTTTTGGTACCAGGGGTCGAACTCGGGTTCTTGCGCTTGTGAGGCAGGCGGGCGAAATCACTGAGCTAAATCCCCAACCCCAAGAGATTGTTTTTGAAAGTGCCCTCCCAAAATACACTTATATCTATGCCTCAGATTTAAACTGTATTCTGGTTTTCCCCCAATATTGCATAAATTTGTCCCCTACTTGGGACAGATTGAAACTGCAGCCCTAATTTCAGTCAACAAACACATAACCTAATTCCTTTACATTTTTAATTTAAAGCCTTTATATGTAAATGTTTATTAGCTATTTTCTCCCATCCTTTATTCTGCCTCTTTAAAGTTCTCTTTTCATGCTACTTCCACTTCCTTATGTATATCTTGGTGCATTGCTGACAGTTAACATCAAAGAAAGATCACTGGTTAATAGGTGAGATATAATAATTTAAGTACGGACTTAGAATAGCAAGAGTTTTTGT